GACCCTTTTCGATACGTGGACCATGATGGAATATAGCATTCATAACTTTATAAGCTTGTCCAGCTATTAGTATTTTAGTTGTAAGAACAGCACATAAATTAATTTTATTTGGTATCTTTACTAATTTATCATCTTGTAGAGAAAATGACATTAAATGAACAATAAGTATCTCTTTTGTTAAGATTAATTCATTTTTAAATAACATATCGTTTCTTCCACAATGTTCACATGACTTATCAAATATCTGACACCAATGTGATGAAAATGTAGTATTTAATAAATCATTAAGATTGTAACTTTTTTTTTTTAAATTGCTAATAGAAATTGAAAGAAAAACTTTATTATTAGTAGTAATTTTCGTATTACCACATGAGTTACAGCGACAAGTGTAAGTAACTTGATGCTCTATCACATTTTTTTACATAATTATATTTTGTACAAAAGGGCTGTAAGAAATTCGAATGCGTCTCGTTTAACGGCAATCGAAAAATATTCTCCCAAAGATTGCCGTATTTCATAGATATTCAAATTCATTCCACGTTCATATTGATGCGCAAATAAATTAAAAACATCCAGTTCATTATAATTTAACAAATGTTTTCTGATACTGTGTAAATGTAGTAAACATTGTAACACTGCATTTGCATAGCATGAAACTTTGTCTATATTTTGAAAACCACGTATAATCCATGCAGTATTTTTTGATAGAGCTTTTTGATCTGACTCTTGAACAGAAATAATTATTTTCGACAATGTCCATGGAACATCTTTAACTTTACAATAACGTTCTTTTGAAATGGTAATTATTTCTGATTCTGGATTATGTATTCGTTTTAGCCGATTATATTCTAAAATTGCATTTTCACTAGCAAATAAAGATGAAGGATCAAAATTAATTAAATGCAATCCATTCAGTGACGTTACTCGGGAAAGTGCAACATAAATCTGGCCGCAACTAAATACGGAGTTACCTATATCCATAATAGCATTTTGCAAACTCAAACCTTGACTTTTATGAATGGTGATGCCATAACTCAAAGATAATGGAAATTGTTTTCTAATAACATATGCTTTATCCATCACTTGAAATTTAACATTTACTCTTTCAATGAAATACTCTAAACCAAATGGTAAAAGCAGTTTGATCTTTTCTATATAATTAGTAGTTGCATCCTGCACAACTGAAATAACAGTAGCAATTGTACCATTCACTAGGCCCAAACTGGCATCAATATTGCGTCTTATCATAACTTTCGCTCCAATTTTAATTGTAATTTGTTTTGAAAGCCCAGCTGTTCTAGTATTATCATCGTCATTATCTGCCAATATCCTTTTACTTTTTTTTTATATATGGAATACAATCAATCGTATCTTCAGCAATTAATATTATTTCTTGTGAAACAATATGATTTAACATTGCAGCGTTAAGAACGTCACACATATGACAAGTAGGTA